CCGAATCCATTATCGACTGTAATTTAACCCGACTGTAATTAGGGAATAATTGGTTTTAAAATTTTCAATTCGCAGGAATAAAATTTTTTTAATTCTCACCAGGAGCTAATATTGATGTTTAAACACCAACATACGTTTGTTCCGATGGCAGACGTACACGAATGACGATTATTTTATAAGACTGAGCAGTAGAGAATTTCATCTAAGCGCAGCAATTAGAAAACTAATTACGTATTGATTCTGTTCGATCTGAAACAAGATATTAATACAATATTCGATCCATTGATATTAATACAAACATTGCGTGATAATAACAAATTAAGTATAAAATTTGATTGTATCTTTTATTAAAACCTATCTGATTTATATCGATTCGTCCGTCTTACGATAATTATGTGTAGGGGAGACCGGGGCAACTTCGGCATGCGGGGCAAGTTTGTCAAGCGCTTTTTTTAAAAAACAAATTAAAAAGAGACTTTGGTTATAGGTTAGACAGTTGAGTTTTATTGGTGGCTTGTTGAGTGTAGTGTTTTTATTGTTCTCCAACAAGCGTAGTTGAATTATCAAGCAAATTTTCATTTTCGTTGAATTCCATATAATATTTTTTTCCCATTTATATTGAATTGGCAGGTTTTGTTATAATTCCATGATAACGAAAGTTACTTTTCCTGTTAGAAGGATGTAACTTCAACTTATTCACGTGGCCAGATCGGCAACATAAAGCCATATTAGAAGCAAAGGATAAAAATCAAACAGATGATAAATGAAAACATGTTTGCACTTGTTATTCATGTATATATGTCTTTCAACTTGCATTTCGTTGTAATAATATTAAATGGGTGTTGGATTTGTATTTCTTTGTTTTAATAGTGAATTCCAACTTATACATTGTTAATAACATAATTTTATATACGTGCCAATCTTGCCCCATTACTGTTGCCCCTATACCAGAGGCAAATTTAATAAAAATAATTAAAATAATTACAACTTTACAAAAAGAGAGAAGTTGCCGATCTTGCCCCTATACCCGGGGCAACTTCGTCAATTTCTCTCTTCTTGTAAAGTTGTAATTATTTTAATTATTTTTATTTCCAAACTGATTTTAACCAGTTCTATAGTAAGGTAACATTCCAATAGACAATATGCAAAGCTTTTTTTTTAGTTTACAGCAGTATTTATTACACAAAATTTAAGTAAAGCTTAACATGCCGATCTTGCCCCGGTCTCCCCTACTTAGTGGAAAGCTAATACGAAAATATTTTACTGAATTGAAAGCTTTCCTATTTATTAAAGAATGTCGAGGATTTGAATATTTATCCTGTTACTAAGATATAACCAAACTAATCGCAGAGTGGAAATGCATATTTTGGAAAATAAATAAAATAGTTAGGAAAGAAAACGCGTTAACCGGGTTCCCATCCACAACATTGGCTATAAACGGCAGAAGCTCTTCTCTTTGCCCCTTTAAGGAATAAAATGGCAGACGTTCGGTATTAAATAATTTTATTAAACAAACGATTTGGCTTCGGACAATAACAAAAGCGGAAGACGATTTCCGGTTGTACAAAAGTCGAGCCTTGGGACCGCCGTTCTTCCTGTACAAAAGGCGACGCGCCGTCCGCCACGCGTCGCGCCAGAGGCGGCGGCGGGCGGAGAATTTCTCCCGTCCCCGCTTGCCGGGCGCCGAGGCCGTCGGGAAGCCGTCGCCCCACTCGACGACCGAGGAAGACGGAGGGGGCAGCGGCGGACGGAAGCAGCCCGCACCCGGAACCGGAAAAGGAAGACGAACCGCGATTAAAAAGTAGGAAAAGGAGGCCGACCAGGCCTTCCGGTCGACCCGTCGACCCACGCGTGACGTAAATTAAAACGAAAAGGTTAAAAACGAGGACTATCAGATCTTTAGACGGGGACCGACTTAAACCCTGCTAGAATAGACGCAAATTAGCCATAAGAAAAGGGTTAGAGTGGTTCTAAACTAGACGCCTGACTGTTTGTAGATCGGATTCTCTCCCTGAAAAAGAAAGAGCAAACTCGTCATTGGGGAAGCGGATACGTTTCGACCCAAAGAAGAAAGGAACTCACCGTGTCCCACTTGGCCATTTACCTCTCCTTCTCGAACTTGCCGAACTCCCTCCTGTCGTGGATGGTGGTCAACAACTTCCAGATCGGCAGCTAGACAATAAACACTCTATCCATCTTCCACGATACCTTATTTTATAAGCGAGTTCTGTGTACTCGCTGATTTTTTTCACTGCATGTATTTTGTACATTGTGAGTGTTTGGAACAGACGTGACAATAATGTATGTGATTTTATTGTGTTCGTCAGTGAATGTGATGTCTGGTCTGTTGTGGTAAATTATTTTATCTGTGATTTTGGGTGTTGTAGAACATTTTGTGCGTGTAGTTTTCCAATATTGTCTGTTGAACGTACTCATAGTATAGTTCGTGGATGTCTAATAATTTGTGTTTGTTTGCAAGCTCTAGATGTATTTGCGACTTGATTATGTCTATCTAAATTATCTGTCTGTGCCAAGAGGCTGCAACCAGAAGTGATGCGTTGTATGGTTTCTGGCACGATGTGACATTTTCCGCATGTGTCGTTTGTGATTGTGGTTTGTGGTTTGTCGTTTGTGATTGTGGATCTTTGAGTATGTGTCTTCTATAGTTTTTAGTATTTATGATCTGATCCTGTATGGCAATCACGAATCCTTCCGTCTCCCCAAGGAGGCCTTCCCGAGCTAACCAGCTGTTTGACGCAGTTTTGTCAACAAAATCTTGGGCCAGGTCTTAGGGATGTCTGCCACGGAGTGCCTTTCGTACCCGCGATTGCTTAATGGTGTCTTGCTATTTATATGTTGTGTCGTGTCCATACGTTGCAAATGTAAATTTAATGGTTTATTATTTGAGTCTGCTGGAGTTACTGCTTTACGTAACTGCGATGTTTCTTGGTTTTTGTACAAAAACTCTCGCAATGTCTGTATTTGTTTGTAGTGGAGGTTAACTATCTCGATCAGGCCAGGTCCGCCATTCCTTTAGGTGGAAGGATTAAATATTATCTTAATTAAAGAATTCGGCTTTACTTATTATTTTAGATGCGGTTTTTTGCGTTTTTGCAGAAAATCGAATATATTTTCAGACCATATAAAAAATTCTCTAATTAATCTCGGAAGAGAGAGACCTAATTTTTACACCCGGTGAAAACGGGTAAGATCGGCTATAATCTAATAATTTTAATCTTCGCTATCGTTACTTTTTTCTCGAGCACGCCGGGCTCATCTGCTAGTAAATAGATAAAAACATCAGTCAAATTGTCAGCTTGAAGCCGTTTTGACACTCGCCTTTCCTTAACTTGTCATTGTATTGTTTCCACTTCAACGTATGTGAATTTAGTAAAAATAGAGCAAAAAATAACGAACGCAAAAGTAGGCAAATATAAATATTTCCTAAGCAACTCTATCACACACACAGAGCCGTAACTAGGCAGGTGCAACAGGTGTACCCGCACAGGGCCGTCTTGGAAGGGTTGGGCCCAAACTGCTGTCACAAAAAATTATATTTTTAAATTTTAAATTTTTCTGCTTTTCTACAGCGCGGTTTGGCGATTACATTTCGCCTTACTTAGATCCTAGATGTCCGCTCACCAGTGTTTCCAACCGTGGCGACTTTTAGAGGGACGTGGTGAGTTAGCGGAGACCTCAGACAAATCAGACAAAAGTAGCGCCTTTTCAGTTTTTTTAATTTATTTTTTGAGAAATTTAAATTTATTTTATAGTTTTCAAATTTACAGATTTTTCTCTAGATTATAGAGCTCTCTGGCAACTACTAATATTATTACGATATACAAAACTGTATTTATAGATTTTTTCTACAGTGTGCCGAGCTTGAAAGTTTTAATTTTGAAGTAATGACTCTTATACAAAATATAGAAACTCCGCTTAATATTCTACAGGCTCTTCGTGATTTTGATTTAATTTAATCTTACCAAATATCAATGTCGCTCTTCGAATATTTCTAACTCTTCCCTTTTCTATTGCTTCGTGTGAGAGAAGTTTCAGCGAGTTAAACTTAATAAAAAATTATGTAAGATCAGCAATTATCCTATTATTCGATATTTCTATTATTTCCATAGAATACAATATCGTTAAAAATATTAATTATGATGGTGTGATTAATGAATTTGCTGAAATGAAAGCCAGAAAAATTCAATTAAAATAAATCTTATTAAAAATCTATTGTAATGTATTTGTTTTATTATTTTCCCGAAACCAAATAAATTAAGGGGCCTAAATGCAAATTCTTACACAGGGCACAGGAATGGCTAGTTACGGCTCTGCACACACAGAACGTAAAAGTGGTCCAATATTGCCTAAATTACATTCTATCACACACAGGCACACTTAGTTCATGCAAATGCTACTTTTTAATTCGATTTCCTATTGTCACAACATAATCTTTTTCAATGATAAGTAACTACAATTGCTGTAAAACAACAACAATTCTCATACCCGATCTACTTTTTAAACACAAAAACTGAACTAGTATAAATGCAAAAATATTATCTGATTTACTGATTTAAACACAGCATAGCCAGTCGCTACTTCTCGAGACAAACTAACGTTAAAATCAAATATTTTCAATAACTTAAGCTCAAAGCAGAACTATCGACACGTTAGGCGCGCAATTGTCTTTTATGATAATTGCGGCCTCAGCTTTTAGGAGCGGTCGCGCGGTATATTACAAACAAAAACAGTTGCTTTGCGCTGTCACGTCAAAAGCCTTTTTGCGAGCGCTCGCCAACAATGCACCTGCACCTGCACCATAAACCGAAATCAAAGGGTACCGAAAGCATTTAGGCAGAGGCGTGCGTAAATCATGAATCGTATACATCAATCAAAATAGATGCAGCATCTAATCTTTATGGAGTTATATAGAGTGATAAAAAAAATTCAACACGGATGGGCCAGATGCTGGAGTAGCTATTGGCACAATATTAGGAAAAATGAATTATTTCACTCACGACCAAAGCAAGGTGCGCGTTTGAATGAACTGGTATGACGAATCCACCTTTTATTTCTGGTCTTATTAATACTGTAGATGTCAGCGTGTACTACATACGAACCTAATGCCATTTGCAGAAACAGTTGGAAATAAGTGTCCAATGTGGACGAGCTAATGCACCCATTATTAATACAAAATCAATTCGAGTCTAGATCTGTATCAAATGGAGCGCTTGTTACGGATTGGACCAGGCTCTCCTGATCTTAATCCTGTAGAAAACACGTTTTTTATCTTAGACAGGAAAGTATATAGGAAAAGAAGCAATATACATCAGAGTAATCATTAGAAAAGGCAATAACTGATGCTTTGAACAAAGTAACGGATGACGAGAAGAAAAAAATCTAGCGACCAGTTGCGTAACTTTCCCGGCAACTTTTAAAACTGCGTGCGTGACGCCATCTGTTTTGATGTTTTTTTTTATTATAATCTTTTTATATTTTTAATTATTATGAAATAGCAAAAACCTTAATATGGGAGTTTATAAAAAATTGTACCAGTAAATCCTAACAACGAGTAACATCGTCATTAAGTCCGATCCTACTCGAGATATAAAACACGACTCCCTTTATCTCCTCTCCCCTTCGACCTTCAACTACCGCAATTTGGGAGTTTATAAAAAATTGTACCAGTAAATCCTAACAACGAGTAAAATCGTCATTAAGTCCGATCCTACTCGAGATATAAAACACGACTCCCTTTATCTCCTCATCCCTTCGACCTTTAACCACCGCAATTTAATAGCATCGATCTCTTAATAAACGAAACTCCCTGCAATATTTCAGAAATTTTCGACAAACAGCGCAGCAGAACCTGATTAACCCACTTTGCAGCCCTAGACATTTTATTCTTTAAGAACAAGTCGGTTTTTGAACGACTTTTAAAAACGAATTAAAGTATCATTACATTTGAAACATATTTCTTTGAAATTTTGTTTATACAAATATTTAATAATTCGTTTCTGTTCGACTCGATTTCTTGAAAAGTATTTACAGTATATTGTTGTGTCTTCCGTTAACACAATGAACATTTTTTTCAATTAACAATGCAATGTTAATAATTACATTTTAACAATAATCACAAAATTTGCCACTTTTTTCCAACCAGAAATTGTCACAACTCGAGCATATGGTAAGTGTCATTATTAAAATTATTTGTACTTGAAAAGACCTTTCGTATTCTTGAATTAGTTGTCTTTCAATGATCAAAATACAAAATTTTACAATTGTCAAACTTAAAAAACCTCTATCGATCTAAATATTCTAACATAAAAATATAAATAATATATGTAATTATATCGATGTATTTGTTTATAAGGAGGTCGCTTCGAATGACAAAAACGGCGGCATTAAATGTAAGGTGTGTAAAAATGAGTTTTCAAACGAAGTTCAGTTCCTCGAACATCTGAAGGAGAATCCGAAATGCGAAAAGTTGACTTGCGACGTGTGTCGGAAACAGTTTACTTGGATATCCAATTTGAAAACACACAAGTCAATACATTCAAACGAAAAGAAATTTAAATGCGAGGAATGTGGTTATGTTACAGGAGATGATCGAATTTTAAAAGACACAAAAATAAACACTCGAAAAAAGAACTTTATAAATGTAGCTATTGTAATCATTCAACTATATGGAAAGAAAGTTTACACGGTCATATTTTGTTAAAACATTCGAAAGAACCGAATTTCACTGAAAAAGTAAGTATTTATTTACAAATTTTTTAAGGAAAATCAATCTATATTTGTACAAACAAATAACACTTGAAATGACTATCTAAAATTTTAAATTAATGTCATTTTCGTATTATAATTTACATTTTTAAGTGTTCAAATTATTCGTGTTTGTTAGACATGTTTATTGCGTTTTCTTCAAAAGCAACAATTAAAAAATTCTATATCTTTGATTCTATAATTTTGCCTTAGATTCCTCCGAGATTTCTGGATTTGGAAAAATATCGATGCGAGTTTTGCCCGAAACATTTTCCATTTCCATTCGCTTTAAAACGTCACGAGAAAAGTCACGCGGGAGAAAAACTGTTTCAGTGTGATGATTGTTTTCGAAGATTTACACGAGAGGAGAAATTATACAAACACAAGCGAATAATTCATTCGACAGTAGAAAAACAATCTTCGTCTCAGGTAAATAAAAGTATATTTAAATAATATCCCAGTTTAAAATAAACAATAATATACTTTTCTTATAGTAACATATACAAGATCTACGTAAAGAGAATGTTCTAATTGTAAATGTATTAATTTCACAACGGTCTTTGTGAAGTATTTTCTATTATAATAGTATTGAAATTCTATGGCATAAATATAATTTTTTATAATATGCAGTTGATTGGTATGCAGTTGATATTCGCACTTATTTACACACTTTTTCACAATATTAAAGATTTTTAAAGCGATTTAATTATTACTGCTGAGAAAGCACACCTGTCCCTCTTTTTGCATTGTAAATACGTTCCAAAAAACTGTGTGTTAAAAATTCGTATGAATATACAGTACATGCAACCCGCATGAAAATGCTCGACAAGATCCACAAGTTCAACGAAACGAGAAATTAATTAAGTTACAAAATAAAAACAAACGACGTTTATCATTAACGTTATTTGTATGTAAGAAGAAAAACCGTTGTACCGAATTCTCTTATGCGCGTGTAGTGCTATACCGTGCTTAAAACTAAGCGAAGCAATTAATATTTTTTCTTATTTTTGAAAATTGAATCTCGACCATCTAGATCACAAGTCAGTGCGTCAGTTACTACTTAAGTTTAAATAAATACACAAAAAAAACCCCCCAAATCTTTAATTTTGCTAATGTGTTCTGAAGGTACTGCTATACGTGGCACAAGGATGCATATCACATTTTTTACTGTATTCAAATTTTACAAGTGTCAGTGCCACAAATTGCAGTTCATTTTAAACATCACTGATGGTCCAAGTTAATTCACAAACATAAGTATTGCGTAATGTTTAAATAATGTTTAAGTAAAGATTTTCATCGACAATCTATCATTGTTATGGTAGTTCTGCTATTACCTCTGAATTAAATGTAAAAAAACATCGTAGAATGGTATAACAGGAATTTCATAATTAACAATATTTTTCAATTGTTTAGAAAACTGCTGGTAAAGGCACATCAAAAAGTTTTAAAATCTCGGAACAGAGTGAGATGCACTCTTCTTCTGAAATCTCAGCAGAGAGTTCGATGCAAGAGGAACATCTTGAAACAAACGAGAAAGATAAGAGTTTGAAATTTTCTGAAAAATTATGGCAATGTCATCAATGTCGCATTACTACAAACTCCGAGAAACAATGGTTGCTACATAAACAAACACACGTTGATGAAGTCCCTTGCACGTCAAAGGTATTTAATTGTCATATTCTGTTTACAAGTTTTCGTACTTTGTTAATAAACGTTCAGTTTAAGTTAGGAAAAAACACCAGCACCCAAACACTTCTATACTATAATTTGTTCGAGCGCTAGGGCTGGTAAGCGAGTAAATTATAGTATAGGAAAGATAATCTGTAGCTTATAAAATCGAGTTTCTCACAGTTTTATGAATAAAATACATTACAATATACTTATTGTATATGTAATAAATTACTGGTGGAACCAGGTTGTAAAAGTAGCGCTCGGCAGAAATATCTAAATAAACGAAACCATTAAATATATATTTTTTAAAACCTCAATTTAGCGGTTTTAAAATATACAGTAAATATAAAGACACAACACGGTTTCGAAATATGGAAAAAACTTTTAAATGTTTTGGCATAAGAATAGTGAAAGCATCAGTTATATTAAGTGATAAGAATAGTGAAAGATTTGAGAGACTGTCGATGTCAATAAACTTCACATTACATAGACTACAACTACAAGCAAGGTTTAGAGGAAACAGTCATCTTTATTATGTCGAGCTCTACGTATTCAACCTGGTTTCAGCAGTTTTTTAAATGAGATTTCAAGTATTTTTTAGTTACAGATAACTTTATAAGATAATAGTTTTTAAGATACCTTATGAGACATTCATAACTCGTGATATATTTATGTGACAGTCACGTGTAGTGTGCAGATTCGTCTATGTCCCAAGGAAATGTGTAAAAAATCTGGTGCAGATCGAGCAAAGGCTTTAAAAGTTAATAAAATATGTTAATTAAGAAGTGTGCAGATTCTCGTGTAGTCTATATTTTCCTCTGTGTCTCAGAAAATATATAAAATATAAAATTTAATAAAAAAAACTTAAAAACATTCTGTCATTTATATACAGTACTAGACAAAAAATGTCAAAACGTATATTTGAAAAAAATCGGGGGATGAAATTTGACACGATTTCGATACTGTCTCTTGTTATGTATAGGCACATAAGAACTAGAAAAGTAAAAATGAGATATTATTTTATAAATATTCTATTTTAAAGTCATTAGGCTTGTATTAATAGTTTAAAAGTAATCGCAGAACGATGGTCAAGTGAAATGTTAATATTTAAAAAATAGGCTATAATTTTATAAATACCAAATATTATTAAGTAAAACCTTCAAAAAGACTAGATAAGAGATTAACAGATCTTGAAAGAACACAGACTCTTTCTAGATTTTCCTGTAGCTTGGTGTGACCAAAATCTCTCTCGTTGTAAATCTAGTGGAAAAAATGCTAAATTTGCGATTGTCTAGATCCAGAAAAATTACACGAACTTATTCAAAATTTAAGACAATTGCAGTTCTCACCGCGAACACTAAATATTTTAAATTTTATCCAAATCGGTTCGTTGGTCTCAAAGATATTAATGGTCAAATTTGACACTTTAAATTCAGACGTGTGGCTGAGGTTATAAATATGTAGCACACAATCGAATGAGTATTCATTAAGGATGATACACATTTACTGTTACCACAAATTAGACTTGAGACTGAAGAAGTGCTGAGTTCTCATTTATGAATGATGAATTGAATTTCGTTGACATTTCGAAATTGGTATTTATTGGAAAGTAATTTTTTCATTTTCTTTCGTATAAAGATTTAATTCAAATAATAATAATTAATATATTGATTATTGCAGGAACAAGAAGAAACCGATCCAGAAGTGGTCAGAGCACCCGAAATTCTCGTCGACACGAGAAAAAAAAGTTTGGAAGAGATAAAGGAACAAAAGGAATCGCCTGATTCCGATACTCCGCCAACATTACAATAACCTACGAATGTTTAATATTGAATCATTTTCCATCCAGATTTTAAAAATTTAAACGAGAGATTTTCAAACTTTATTTCTTTCACACAAAAGTGATGTAAACCGCCTCTAAATTCGACATTTAAGACGAATTGAACTTAATGGTTTCTGCAATATTTTGGCAAAATTTCGTGAAAGAAGATAATTAATTCAACAAAATATAAATTTTATTTTTATTGGAAATTTATTGTGATTTGAAAGATTTACTCTATTGTGATTTGAAAGATTTTCGTACTGTCTTTCTTTAGTAATACACACTTTAATATTGTTTTTATGATTGACGTTACCATGCGGATTTTGCAGACTTTGAGAAGGCCATTTCTTAATTTCACGTTGATAAATTAATTTATTTTAATTATTTTTATTTCCAAACTGATTTTAACCAGTTCTATAGTAAGGTAACATTCCAATAGACAATATGCAAAGCTTATTTTTCAGTTTACAGCAGTATTTATTACACAAAATTTAAGTAAAGCTTAACATGCCGATCTTGCCCCGGTCTCCCCTAAGTCTTAAAGAGAAAAACATTTTCCATTTTATTAGCGGAGGATGAGTGCATTTCTCTTTCCGGAGTCGTTTCAATTTCCAAGGAACTGTGAAATGTGTCAATGGAAACTACAACTAAAAATTCACTATTGATGGAAAGACAACGTGACTTAGAAATAGAAAGAGGAGAACTCGAGGAGCAGAGAGCTGGTCGAGTGTCCGCGAGAGTATGCAAATATAGACAAAGATAATGTAGAAATAGTTCATAAAGAAAAATTAACATACAACAGGATGTTTGAAAAAACCATAGAAATCATGAAAAGTAAAGACAGTATAAATAAAAACTGGCTCAATATATTATAAATAAAGCAATCTCTCCTAAAAATAATTTTCCCAAGACGGATTTTGGCAAAAATTCGATTACAAGGTAGCGAACGTCATACGTGGCAACACTAGAGATACCAACGGAAACGACATAAAAACGGGTGGAAGAAAAAGTGGCGGAAACGGCTAAAGTTTTTACAGTCGTATCGTATCGAAGTCTATCTAAATGCAAAGATTTTGGAACTATTTTAATTGTAACGTATACTGGTTTATCCACAAAGGATTAAAGCAGATTTCACGAGATTTTAAATTATACAAAGTATAACTAAAAGGTAAGTCTATATATCGTTTGTTTTTTAACTCATTGTTTTTTATGTAAATTCTCTACTGTAGTTTCGTATAAAGATTTAATTCAAATAATAATAATTAATATATTGATTATTGCAGGAACAAGAAGAAACCGATCCAGAAGTGGTCAGAGCACCCGAAATTCTCGTCGACACGAGAAAAAAAAGTTTGGAAGAGATAAAGGAACAAAAGGAATCGCCTGATTCCGATACTCCGCCAACATTACAATAACCTACGAATGTTTAATATTGAATCATTTTCCATCCAGATTTTAAAAATTTAAACGAGAGATTTTCAAACTTTATTTCTTTCACACAAAAGTGATGTAAACCGCCTCTAAATTCGACATTTAAGACGAATTGAACTTAATGGTTTCTGCAATATTTTGGCAAAATTTCGTGAAAGAAGATAATTAATTCAACAAAATATAAATTTTATTTTTATTGGAAATTTATTGTGATTTGAAAGATTTACTCTATTGTGATTTGAAAGATTTTCGTACTGTCTTTCTTTAGTAATACACACTTTAATATTGTTTNATAGTTAATTGAAGAGGGGCAAAGCCCGAAACGAGTACAAAACAATGTACCGTATCAACTCAACTAATAAACATATTTGATAAAAGTCTTGCCCCGGATCTTTGGAATACAACACAATACTAGTGTTTACTAAGCCAGAATTAGAAAACAGGACAAAGTTTTAGAAAAACAAAAAAAAGTTTATTTTAGAGCTAATATTTTGATAAACTAAGTAGCCTATACTTTTCGTTAGAATATAGAACGAATAAAACCAAAATTTCATGCGGATTGAACAAAATCTGCAGGAGTTACAAAAAAATTCACACACGTGTACAATGCTTTTACAGTCGATCCCCCTATAAGACGGTAGATACGTTTAGTTCTTTACGAATCAATTTTGTAGGAATCGTAGCCAATCACAGCCCGAACGTGTGAAGTTTACGGACTATGGCTGTTTGAAAGGTTTTCTTCCATAAAATTAATCAATTCTAGAATAATTCGAATCAAAATTTCCAAAATACGTATATTTTTTTTGGAAATAATCAGTATAAACTACGCTATAAACAAAAATTGTAAAATTACTTACCGAGTGTGCACCATTCGACATCGCCGTTGCTCAAGCTTGTTTTCGTCGCGGAACAGCGCAACAAACTGCGGCCGCGATTTCTAATAACTTATTTTTCTGCGAAAAGTTCGTTGAATCTTCATCTTTTCAATGCACTGCGACCACTGTTTAACAGTTTGATATAGAAGAATGTATTAATGGCATATACAGTTGGAAAATTATCCAATTTGCTTCTTTTCATAAGAAAATTCATGTAGAAATTAATTATTACATTATTAGACCAATTAAGTCTCGCAAGTGTCTCCGTATCTCTGCGTGCAACGGACAGACGAAAACCTTCGGCTAAAACTTCATCCGCATGATTTGGCTTTAAAGCAGCATCAACTTCCACATCTATTTCGGATGTTAATTCTGGAAAACCATTTAACTGATTTTATTTTCAAGAGGTTTTTCTTGTAAAACTGCTGGTGTTTTTTTTTCTTAAAATTTCTTTTATGTTTTCTTGTGCAATTGCATACTTTGCTTCCCTCTTCTCTCGAATTGATCGCGTTAATTCTTCTTGATAACTTATCTTTTTCTTTTTTTTTTTATCTCGCCTTTCTATTCACTGTCTAAGTTTTTACATCCAATTTTCATTTAAAAAATAGTTTTCTTTTTGTCTTGCTGAAAATTGAACTTCAGAGATTGGTGGTTTACTAACCTGTACCATTGTTATGATCACACTATCATCGTCGTCCTTTTTAATAGGTGAAGGTTTCTCCCTATTTGTCTTCATTAAAGAATATTTGTTCAAAGTACAAGTGTCATTTCCAAATTTCAATATTGGAAGATACTCTTTTGGTGTGGATGCTTTCTTTACATTTGAATGTCAAACATTATGACACATAATGTGATAATTCTATTAAATCACAAGTTGATTTTTTGCTTAATTTCTCTCTTAAGCAATTAAAAACTTTGTTCTTCCATTTAAACCTGAATATCTAATTCTCTTATATTTAGTAGAAGCATCATTCATTTCAAGTCCATTACTTTTATTATTTTCAGAATCTGCGCTAAATTCCTACTACAACAAAACGAATACCAACAGAAGAATAGAACATCTCCGAAAATTCACTATATTTTACAAGAAGAAAGGAAATGCTCTTTCTCTACACTTTTAAAAAAATCTCATTATAAGACTCCGAAAGAAAATCTGTAGAAAATTAAGTGTTTGAAACGGGAATGAGACAGAGGGAATGTTTCGTTTACATTTTCTATGAATTGTGCAAAAAATATTTCCATCCATTAATTGAAGTTTTTACAGAAACGTTTCTTTTTGTAAACAGTGTCACGTTTAACGGGTTAGGTTATTACGTATTAATCAACCCACTCGAAAACAATAATTTTCTTGGCCACAAAGTAGAATGTTTGAAAGAATGGTATATAACTCGAATGGTTTTTATATGGTGGGAACGAATTCACTGTATTAAAAAAAATAAACAATTTTGCTGGATTTGAAAGTAATATGCGAAATTCGGTCGGATGGCCTTTAAAAGTGTTCTACACTATTCCGTCTGTTTATACATTGCAAGAGATTAGTGACTTAATTCGAAGTGTAAAGTATTAAGTGCTATTCTAGTCCTATTAAACATTTCACAAAGTAAAGTGTTCTTATTTATTAATTGAATTATTTTGAGCGAATTGAGAAAGTAAATTTGGTAAATCGTTTTTATACTTGCTACGAAAGGTTTTTTTTTTTTTTCTAATTCCGAGAGCAAAAATCAATTAACTCATTTCAAATTATAAATTTGACGTTTAAAAAATGAAAGATTAACAAGTTAAGGTTTTATATCATAAAACGGTGTAACATATTTTAAACACATTTCGGTTTCTGAAAGATTCCATACAGTAGAGCGTCGTTAATCCGAATCAATTGGGGACTAGAGTTGTTCGGATAACCGATTATGTACGAAAAAATATATTAATCTCTTCCATCCTGAAATTTTTCTGTGTTGCAAGTCGCTTTGCGTTGAATTTTTGTCGATGTTAAGCCTAACGTAAACTATTTAAAATAATAATCGTGGCTATTGTATTGTTAAAAATTATTTCTTTATTTTGTACAAACAAAATAAATATATTGAGAAATATAACAACAATAAAAAAATTATACTTCAGAAGTTAATTTAGTATCAAAAACGTAAAATATTTGAGTAGCCCAGGACATAGCTAAAGATTGCAGCGCCACAGCAATAGCGAAAATTAAAATTCGCCAACTGGAATTCTTTCGGATAAACGACGCTCTACTGTATTTATTATTATAAATACAAAATCTTTTCCTAAAATAATTATTGTTGAAATATATAACAATTATAACTATCCTCGGAATTCTGTTTATTCTATATAATGGTCTAACAATTATACTTTTCTAGATTTCATTTCCTATTATATTACTTTTCCGTCTGTTATATATAACATAGGAAAAGCTTGTTGAATGGTAAAAAACGTTTGCCCCATATTTAGACTTTCGGGAACTTAAAATATCCAAAAGTACAAAAAAATTTGTTTTTTTTTCAATAAATATGGTTGTTCGTGCGTAAAACGATTCTATTCCGGCTGTTTGAAGTTTAATAACTCCGATACTTTCTGTCGAAAATTCCTAAAATTTCACAGTAAAGTTTCTGTATTGGGGGTTGACTGTATTTACTTTTGTTAGTTAGAGGTCGAGGAGTGGTGAGATAAAAGAAAATCTGTGTTTCGTCCCTGGAATACGGTCAGATTTATTGAGAATTTTACTCGTCATCGGTATTTACAATTTGTTATAAAATTCCTGTCTACTTTTAAAATTCAATTTTTGCCATTTTATAATAATTAAAAATATAAAAATATTTTTAAAATAAAATATCTTAACGGAGGCGCCACACGCAATTTAAATGCTGTCCAGAAAGTTTCGATGGTGCCGATGGATTTTATAAAAATGTTGTATATGCTAATATAGAGAAAAATAGTCATTGTATCCAGCCTTCTAGAGATATGAGAGAATTCTCGATAATCTTTTCACCCCTAGTCCTTTAACTAACAAAATTTAGTAGCATTAATTTTCCTAATACACAAATTACCCTGCAGAATTACGGAAATTTTCGACAAAAAGCACACGAGTTATTAAGTTTCGAACAGGGTGAACAAAATAGTGCTACACATAGACACACACACACATACACAATAACATCTATTCATACACAAATTACCCCCGAAATTTCTTTGCGTTTCTCAACGTTGAAGGAGTCCCGAGTAAAAAAATGTATAAATCCTAGTATCATTTTTTGACCTATCGCCATACTTTTCCTCTTTTATGTATATAATAGAGCCGAGAAAGTAATTAATTGTTTAATACACGTTTAATTACAATTATTAACAATTACAATTGTAAGACAATAAACAATCTGTCAAGAAACTAGTTTAATTCTTCAAAAATTACAATTTAAAAACCAATTTGATGAATTTCGCATGAAAGTATTCCAGTTTAAAAATCTCTTTCTGCAATTTTGAAAAAAAAAACAAAAAACATTTATTGTTTCTTTTCAAAACAAAATATTCGCATGTTGTGAACTTGGCGGTGTATCGGAATCAGGACTTTTGTTTTTATCTTTTGTCGTCTCCAATCTTTTCTTTCTCATGTCCATAAGAATTTCGGATGCTCTGACCACTTCTGGATCTGTTTCTTCCTGTTCCTGCAACAATGAAAATTTAAATTATTATTTAAATTCAATTTTTATACGAAAGTAAAAAAAAAATTTCTTTGGCACAAATGTAAATTTCGAAATGTAAACAGAATTCAATTTATCATTCACAAATGGGAACTCAACACTTCTTCAGTCACAAATCTACTTTGTGGTTAACAGTAAATGGGTAGCATCGTTAATAAACTCTCATTCGATTGTGCAATATTTATAACTTCGGTATAGTAGAGCTTAGCCACACTTTTAAAGTTAAAGTGCAAAATTTGATTATTAATATCTCCAAGACCAACATCTAAATCGAAACGATTCGAATGTAATATAAAATATTTAATGTCCGCGGTGAAGACTACGGTAGTCTTAAATTTTGAATAAGTTCGTTGGAATGTTCTGTATCTAGACAATCGCAAATTTACCATTTTTTTCCCCACTAGATTTACGACGAGAGAGATTTTGCTCATACAAAGCTACCGGAAAATCTAGAAATAGTGTGTATTCTTTATAGTTCTTTCGAGATTTGTCTACCTCTTTTGCAGTCTTTTTGAAGGTTTTATTTTAAAATATTGGGTATTTACAACCTATTTTTTAAATATTAACATTTCATTTGTGTATCATCGTGACTTTTTTGTCTTGTATTGTATACAGATGACAGAATGTTAGCTTCTCTTTGTTCTTACCTTTTTATTACATTTTCATATCATATTTATTTTCTGAGACACAGAGGAAGATAAGAACTACGGCGTAAACCAAAAGACCAGCCTTTCCCCTGACGTTTTTCATTTATCAATTTTTAAATCTTTTACTCGATCTACACCAAAGTTTTCATACTTATTTCCTGAAACACACACAAATCTGAAAACTAGTGACTGTCACAAGAATATATCACGAGTTATTAATGTCTCATAAGTTTAAGACGCAGTTTAAGCCTATGGGAGCCTGCAGCCTCGCGGCTTGTCTACAAAACCTAACCCATCCCTCCGGGAGATGACCGTCACTAGCTAATACCTTTTATTTTGGCTCGATATTTTATCGGAGAAGAAAAACAAGAAAGTTTTCATACTTTTTTCCGGCGATCGAGCGATGATCGGGAGTCGAGTCGCTCTCTCTGTTAATCTTAACAGGCAGTCTGGAAGATATTGATGCCGACACGCTTGCTATCGCTGGCGGTCGGCTAGTACTACGCCTTTAAGCCCATCAAAATATAAAACTACATATAGAAGCTCTCTGTAGAAGAGTGTCGAGCTTGATATTTGCTGACACAACTCTGAAATTTGTCTTAGACAAACTAAAATGTCAGGACACAATCTTGATTGCCGACCTTTCCGAGGCATTCCGCAAAAGAATCGGAGAACGGAGTCTTACCGAAGTTACAGGGATGCTGATTTACATACAGAACCAGAGAAAGTATGACCGAAACGTTAGAAAGCGCGATTATTCTAACGTTCAATGAAATACTTTCTCAACCTGGTTTTACCAGTTATTTATTACATATACAATAAGTATACAGTATTGCAATGTATTTTACTCATAAAATTGCGAAAAACTCGACGTTATAAACTACAAGTACGCTTTCCTATACTATAATTTACAAGCGTACCAGCCCCAGTGAGCGAGTAAATTATAGTATAGAAGGGCGGGTGTGCTGGTGTTTTTTGTCTAACTGAATGATTATTTACAAAGTACTAAAACTTTTAAACAAAATACAACAATTAAGTACCTTTGACGTGCAAGGAGATTCGTCAACGTGTGTCTGTTTATGTAGGAACCATTCTTTCTCGGAGTTTGTAGTAAAGAGACATTGATGACATTGCCATAATCTTTCAGAAAATTGCAAACTTTTATCTTTCTCGTTTGTTTCAAGATGTTCCTCTCGCATGGAAGTCGTTGCTGACATTTCAGCAGAAGTGTACATCCTACTCTGTTCCGAGATTTTAAAAGATTTTGATGTATCTTCTCCTGTGATTTGCTAAACAATAGAAAAATATTGTTAATTATGCAATTCCTTTTAAACAATTCTATGATGCTTTTTACATTGAATTGAGAACTAATAGCATAAAAATTAGTTGAATATGATTATTTCAGGGACGTCCCGATACTGCCGGTACCGATACTTTTCCATGGATAAAGTTACAGCAATGAAACACTTGGCCAGGTGGATGCCTTTCAAGTGTTCCAAGAAGTCTTTTAAGGGTAAGTGGCTTCTATTCAGTTGTTACAGACATAGAGATAACCCGGAAATCGTCACGTGGCCAGCTTGTCCGGACGAAGCAGGAACCCACGACCGAATTCTCAGGTATCGCATTGCCACTGGTGGTACCCGATATCTTATGTATCATTGTCCCAGGTATAGCGGAACCTTTAGACCTCATTAGTAGGACTGAAGATTTAGTACTATATGCGAGTCAGAGAATTCGGTATATCGGTTTTACTTCATACGCTATCTTGTGTTTACTACATATCTGTATACATACAAATAACATTAATTATAAACGACGTTAGATTTAAAAAGCTCGTCTTTATTTTGTAACTTGATTAATTTTTCGTTTCATTAAAGTTGTGGATCCTGTTGAGCATTTTCATGCGGGTTGCATGTACTGTATATTTATACGAATTTTTTTACACAGTTTTTTGGAACGTACCCACTATGCAAAAACAGGGACAGGTGTACTTTGTCAGTAGTAAAAACAAGTAAAAGGCGACAGACTGAGCAGAGAAAACCGGTTTTATTTCCAGTTTTGATAATCGAGGCCGATCTTGGCTCTTAATATCGATAATTCTGTGGTATCGGGATAATTGTCCGTATAACGACATAAAAAAAAATATCACACAAAAATAATTAAACGGAAAATAATTAAATCGCTTTATGAATCTTCAATTCTGTGAAAAGATTTGTAAATAAATGTGAATCATACCAATCAAGTGCATATCGTTATAAACTATATTCATGTCATAGATTTTTAATGTTATTATAATAGAAAATACTTCACAAAGATCACTATGAAATTAACACCTTTACAATTAAAATTTTTTCTACACGTAGACCTAGTACATATTACTATAGAAAATTATAACAACTTTTTAACTTATTGTTTATTTTAAACTAGGATATTGTACTTATTTAAATATATTTTTATTTACCTGAGACGTCGGCTGTTTTTCTACTGTGGAATGAATTATTCGCCTGTGTTTGTTTAATTTCTCTTGTCGTGTAAATCTTCGAAAACAATAATCACAATGAAACGGTTTTTTTCCCGTATGACTTATTTCGTGACGGCTTAAAGCGTATGGAGTATGACAAAATTTCAGGCAAACTTTGCATCGATATTTTTCCAAATCCAGAAATCTCGACGAAAGCTAAGCCAAAATTATATTATAAAAACTAGTATTTTTTATAAAAAAACATCAAAGGCTAATACAATATCGAAAAACATTACTAATATATCTTTAGGTATACACAGATTAGTACAAGAATTAGAATCAAAGAAATAGAATTTTTTATTTGTTGCTTCTAAATTAAAGAAAACGCAATAAGAATGTGTGACAAACACGAGTAATCTGAACACTTGAAAATAAAAGTTAGCCAATAAATACTTACTTTTTCAGTGAAATTCGGTTCTTTCGAATGTTTTAGCAAAATATGACAGTCTAAACTCTGTTTCCATATGGTTGAATGATTACAAAAGCTACATTTATAAACTTCTTTTCTTGAGTGTTTATTTTGGTGTCTTCTAAAGTTTGATCCACGTGCGGTACAATAATCACATTCTTCGCATTTAAATTTCTTTTCGTTTGAATGTATTTCTAACTTGTGTATATTCAAATGACAGATCTGACTAAACTGTTTCCGACATTCGTCACAAGTCAACTTTTCGCACTTCGGATTCTCTGTCAGATGTTCGAGGAACTGCACTTCGTTTGTAAACTCATTGTTGCAAACCTTGCATTTAATGCAGCCGTTTTTCTCATTCGGTGCGATCTCCTTATAAACAAATACATCGATATAATCACATATAAAACAGTTTTAAAACAAGATAGAAACTGTTTAGGTTTAACAATTGTTGTAAAATTTTGTATTTTTATCATTGAAAGACACGTAATTTAAAAATACGAACGGTCTCTTCTAGTACAAATAATTTTAGTAATGGCACTTACCATTTGCTCGAGTTGTGACAATTTAGGGTAGGAAAAAGAAACAAGAAATTTTGCTATTATTGTTAAAATGTAATTATTAACATTGCATTGTTTAATGAAATAATATTCATTGTGTTAATGGAATATACAACAATATAAATATTTTTCAANATTCGCTTGAATTGTGACAATTTCTGGTTTAAAAAAGACGACAAATTTTGCGATTATTGTTAAAATGTAATTATTAACATTGCATTGTTTATTGAAATAATATTCATTGTGTTAATGGAATATACAACAATATAAATATTTTTCAAGAAATCGAGTAAATAGAAAACAAACGATTAAATATTTTTATAAACAAAATATGAAGGAAAATGCAAAGAAACTTCTCTCAAATGTAGTGAAACTTTAATTCGTTCCTTGACTTGTCAAACAAAAACAAATTTCCCAATAAGAAACAATATAAAATAGATTGATCTGTTTCCGACCCCGAAACAGGTTTTTTTTTAGCAGCTTATCATACATAAAAATGTTTACAAGTGAATATAACACAATATTAACTATATTTATACTAACTGTAATTATTCCAAATAATCACTTTACAAAATCAATAACTACTGTTGTTGCTCAACTTTCCTGGAAACGTTTAGTGATGTAATCCGTTATACACTCACTGCCAAAAGTTAAGCACAGAGCAATAAACTGCAAAAAAATTGACAAATACAGCTATGATTGACACGAAATGCAGCAGGACAGTAGCAAATATGTTTATGCATAAAACAACACAAAGAATTAAATAGAAAAATAAAAACAATATTGAATTNGATTCAGTTAACATATCTATTTTTTTCCCGATTACCCGTATAAATGAGAGAGATAGCTCACATGTATTTCGCGTGAGGATAAATACCCTGCTTTAAGTTGTCGATTAGTCGTTAGTCTTCGAGTCTCTATATGGCACCAAGTTCTTTCGAATGTTGATAGTTGGGTTCGATGTGGCGCAAAGTTCTTTCGAACGGCGGCGATTAGAATAGTAGCGGCTAATCCGTTCACGTAAATCCACAGTTCACACCAAACTTCGGAGACTGACTCTTACGCATCGACTCCTCCCTTTTATAAAGTGGGTATAGTTGGGTTTTTCCACTGCCTTATTAGGACTGTTTTTCCATCACTGACCAATAGAGGTTTTCTTTTGTGTATTCGTAGTTTCCGGGTGACACATTCGATGTATCATCCTTTACCCCGGAATTAAGTTCGTGAGAAAAAAGTTTAAAGTTCTTTTTAAATGTTAAGTTGTTGTTTATTTCTCTAAACTGTTTCTCTTACGAAAAAAATATTTAACAATTTATTTTAATAAATTCGACTCTCACAATAATAAGTAACTACAATTGCTGTAAAAAACAATAATTCTCTTACCTGAACTACTTTTTAAACACAAAAACTGAACTTGTGTAAATTCAAAAATATTATACTGATACAAATATATAACTGAATTACTGATTTAAACACAGCATAGCCAGTCGCTACTTCTCGAGACAAACTAACGTTAAAATCAAATATTGTCACTAATTTAAGCTCAAAGCGGAACTATCGACACGTTACGCGTGTAATTGTCTTTTATGATAATTGCCGCCTCAGCTTTTAGGACCGGTCGCGCGGTATATTACAAACAAAAACAGTTGCTTTGCGCTGTCACGTCAAAAGCCTTTTGGCGAGCGCTCGCCAACAATGCACCTGCACCTGCACCATAAACTGAAATCGAAGGGTACCGAAAGCATTTAGGCAGAGGCGTGCGTAAATCATGAATCGTATACAATCGCATATATCATATAATATATCAATCGCAACAGATGCAGCATCTAATCTTCATGGAGTTATATGGAGTGATAAAAAAAAATTCAACACGGATGGGCCAGATGCTGGAGAAGGTATTGGCACAATATTAGGAAAAATGAATTATTTCACTCAGGACCGAAGCAAGGTGATACAAGCGTTAATGTATGATGCGCGTTTGAATTGAGTGGTATGACGAATCTAGCTTTTATTTCTGGTCTTATTAATACTGTAGATGTCAGCGGATACTACAGACGATCCTAATGCCATTTGCAGAAACAGTTGGAAGTAAGTGTCCAATGTGGACGAGCTAATGCATCCATTATTAATACAAAAACAATTCGAGTCTAGATTTTTATCAAATGGTGCGTTTGTTACGGATTGGACCAGACTGTCCCGATCTTAATCCTGTAGAAAACACGTTTTTTATCTTAGACAGGAAAGTATATAGGAATAGAAGCAATATACATCAGAGTAATCATTAGAAAAGGCAATAACTGATGCTTTGAACAAAGTAACGGATAACGAGAAGAAAAAAATCTAGCGACCAATTGCGTAACTTTCCCGGCAACATTTAAAACTGCGTGCTTGATACCATCTGTTTTGATGTTTTTTTTATTAAAATCCTTTTATACTTTTAATTATTATAAAATAGCAATAACCTTAATATTGGAGTTTATAAACAATTGTACCAGTAAATCCTAAGAACGAGTAACATCGTCATTAAGTCCGATCCTACTCGAGATATAAAACACGACTCCCTTTATCTCCTCTCCCCTTCGACCTTCAACTACCGCAATTTAATAGCATCGATCCCCTAATAAACGAAACTCCCTGCAATACTTTAGAAATTTTCGACAAACAGCGCAGCAGGGCCGGATTAACCCACTATGGGGCCCTAGACATTTTATTCTTTATCGGGCCCCCTCCTTTTCCTACAAGAAGAAACACAAGAACACATTTTCTTTACATTGTACAATTCACAATAACCATATAAAAAGCAATGTATTTTTGTTTATTTATTTTGTGGCTGCCAGTGTCAGAGATCGTGAACACGGTCTGGCAACTTTTAAAAACGAGTTATTGCCTGGCAACGGGAATAAAAGAAACAAAGGCGCAAAAGTTCGTTGAGTTGCCCGGATGTAGCCTGAGAGTATAGACGACAGCTTCGATCTTATTTTAATAAAGTTCTTCTGTTACCGTTTGGGTTAGATTTACCCAAATGCGAAAATTTAAGAGGAATATTTAAAGTGCGATAGCCATTTAATTGGAATTACGATATGCAAATTGTGGACACGGGAAATGTATTTATTTATTTTCCACTTTTAATTAATCTTTTATTTAAGCTTTCTTCTTTTAAATATGCCGAAAAGAACAGCGCAAAACAGATAAAGAATTAAATATATCAATCTGATAAAACTATTGTCGGTTCCCTACACGTATACCCACTCACTGCAGGTTACACTTTCGAAAAAGGTTTCCGGAAACCGTCGAATTGTTATAGTCCACAAGAAAAGTCGTACCGTCTTTTCGTAACACCGGTAAGCTTTGTTCGGGAAGGAACGAAATTTCGGTTTTCTTTCGTTCTTCTGGCAGTTGCAGTCCATAATTATATTCGTGGCGAAGACTTTGGCCGCTCGAAGAACAAAGTCAATCTGACAAACTGGACACCCGGCATTTACATACGAATCCATTATCGACTGTAATTTAACCAAAATTTCACTGTAATAAGAAAATAATTGCCATTAAATTTTTCAATGCATCGGAATATTACTTTTCCGACTGTTATATATAACAGAGGGAAAGTATGGAGATCGGCCAGGAAGTGACTCCCCTCGGTGACTTTTCTGGCCTTTTTAAATTTTAATGAGCGTAAGTGAAGAATGAACTAACATTGACATTTAAACACTGACGTATTCTGCAAATACATTATTTATTCCGATCTCTTCAATACACCATCGACGACTTTCTTGTATGATTGATCTACAGAATATTTCCACGTGCTCTTGTTCTATCGATCAATATCGATTGCACGGAAGTCGAATTTCAATTAAGTATGGAATTTGATTGCATCAAATAATAAATCCAAAATATTTTAAGTGGTGGTAAAAAAAGATTGAGTATTTCGATGGAGATAATTAAAATTTTACGTGGTTTCATCCGTCTTACAATGCTCTCGGTTAACATTAACTTCGGCTAAGTACACATTATGTGTACTTAGCCGAAAGTTAATATATATTTAGAATTGATACAGATAGTATAGGTGTAGTTAATATTATGTTATATTGCATACGTAGGCATTTTTATGCATGATATACAGCTAAAAAAGGAAAAAAAAGACTGTTTTTGAAATAGGGAATAGATTATTATTTATATTGTTTTATATTGTTTCTTATGGGGAAATTTGTTTAAGAACAAGTCGGTTTTTGAACGACTTTTAGAGACGAATTAAAATTTCATTACATTTGAAACGAGTTTCTTTTCATCTTCATTGATATTATGTTTATATGAATATTTAATCATTTGTTTTTTTTCGACTCGATTTTTTAAAAAAATATTTATTTTATTGTATTTTACGTTTACACAATGAACACCATTTCATTAAACAATACATTGCTAATATTTATTTTGCGGTGTCTTACGTCAGTACAATGAACATTTTTTCATTTAACAATGCAATGTTAATAATTATATTTTAACAATAATCGCAAAATTTGTCGTATTTTTTCAAACCAGAAATTGTCACAACTTAAAGCAAATGGTAAGTGTTATTTCCGAAATTATTTGAACTAAAAAAGAATTTTTTGTATTTGTAAATTACAGTGGTGCCTCGTACAACGTACTTAATCCGTTCCAGGTGCACGTCCGTTAAGTGAAACGTCCGTTATACGAAACGCATTTTCCCATAGAAATACATGTTAAAACATATAATTCGTTCCGCAGCATAAAATAACCGTACTGTACCATAAAAAATGAAAATGGAGCAGACACCAATTATGCCGGGTAGTCAGATGTTGTGAGGAGGAGGTGGAAGAACACTTTCTTTACACATTCATACAGATACAGACTTTTTACACATTGCAGCGGGTCTTTTTTTATTGTTTTTTAATCGGAGTCAGATTCAGGAGAGGCTACCGGAACTTGCAGGGTCAACTTCTCTTGTTCCATCCTTTGTTTTTTGCCCGCTGGCTTCTTGAAAAACATGACCAAGGTGGTCTGTTTCTCTTTCTTCTTTAACACCTGTCGGAAATGACGGACAAAGGTGTCATCGTAGAGATCATTGATCCTGTTGGCCTCAGCTCTGTTTGGATAATGAGTGTTGGTAAACTCCTGAACCTCTCCCCATTCGACAAGAAAGTTTTTGTCAACTTTCACTCCTGATGATTTCTTGCTTTGTTTCAATTGAAATCACCTTTCTGTTTTTTTAGAAGCCATGATGCATTATAAATGACTTAACTTGCCAGATTATATGATACGAATAATTCTTTATTAATTAAGATCACTAAACACTTCTACGAGCTACTCTCGCTCCGTTTGTTTTTTACAACCTCTTTTCGTCCCGCCACCTCGGCATCTACACAATTACATTTCGTTTATTTGAATCGTCAACATATACTGTATTACATTACATTTAATGTTTATTTAAATCATCAACATATATTACATTACATTTCTACTTCAGATATACTAATAATACATTCTAATAATACTAATATATCCTAAAAATAGCAGATTGTCATTGGCAACGGCAAAAGAGTGGAAACATCATTCGCACTTGTTCGAAGAAAGTCCATTGTTCGTCTCACGTAACTGCCGAACGGAAAGTCCGTTGTTCGCAGCAAGTCCGTTCATCGAGTCACGTAACGGTCAAACAGAAAGTCCGTTATTCGCAGCGTCCGTTATTCGAGGCGTACGTTATACGAGGCACCACTGTACGTGTCTTACAATGGCGTCAAATACAAAATTGTAAAACAATTGTTAAACCTAAACAGTTTCTATCGATCTGGATATTCTAACATAAAAATAGGAATAATATATGTAATTATATCGATGTATTTGTTTATAAGGAGGTTACTTCGAGTGACAAAAACGGCGGAATTAAATGCAAGGTGTGCAAAAGTGAGTTTTCAAACGAAGTGCAGTTTCTGGAACATCTGAAGGAGAATCCGAGGTGCGAAAAGTTGACTTGTGACGTGTGTCGGAAACAATTTACTTGGATATCTCATTTGAAAACACACGAGTCAATACATTCAAACGAAAAGAAATTTGAATGCGAGGAATGTGGTTATGTCACCGGAGATGGATCAAATTTTAAAAAACACCAAAATAAACACTCAAAAAAACAAGTTTATAAATGTAGCTATTGTGATTTTCCAACTGTATGGAAACAGAGTTTAGAAAATCATATTTTGATACAACATTTGAAAGAACCGAATATCATTGAAAAAGTAAGTATTTATTAGGAAATTTTTGAAGGAAATTCAATTTACATTAGTACAAACAAATAACACTTAAAATGACTATCAAGAATTTTTAATTAATGTCATTTTCGTATTATAATTTATATTTTTAACTGTTCGGATTACTTGACATTTTTATTGCGTTTTTTCTT